CTTTCCAATCCAGCCTTTCATCCCTTCTGGGTCAATTTTGAACTACTTGTCTGGGACCATGAAAGCGCTAATTTGTAGCTGGCAATCGCAAGTCTCTTTAGTGGCCAAATACTTATCGGAAACGTTGACAAGATATGAAATGAAAGCAGAATGCTAGGACGCATCCCAAAACAGGATTGATTGAAGCCAGGAATTTGTCCTTACGTATTATATAGTAAGGACTTCCAAACGTAGCGTAATTTACCTTCTTTCCATTCTTTCCAGAGAAGCTAGACGACTCTATTGCCGTATGTTGTATTACATGAATGTATATCTTTTTTTTAGCCTCAGTTTCATCGTGAGGTTTGCAATATGTTGGAAATAGCTGTTCGCTGCCAGATTCTTGTGCGTGTACAACCTTATGAAGGTGGTCGTTCTAGATCATATCGTCATCAATTTCTTATGATTGCGAACGGAACATCGTCGGTTCTCTGCGTTTCTCCAAAAACTCTCGTTTATCATTTATCATAGACCGATTCGAAGTTGTGAGACAGCGATGATCATCACGGTCTTGTCGCTTTGACCTCACTAAGTACACTTTTTCCGCTCAGCGGTTCCCTGTGAACAACAAGGACACGATTTCCCCTGATTCGTAACCCAGTGCCAGGAGAGGATAACATGGAAGAATGAAAGAAGTGTAGTTCATCAAAAGAATCCCTTTTGCCATTATGAGGATGAAGAATAATGTCTTCGAGGCTAATTCTGCTCTTGGATTGCGCCCCAATGCCTATTTCCACTCAGAATCGTATTGGCGTGTTGAATGCGCAAATTACCTGCTCACTGATTTACGGTGGCAAGCAGATGTACAAGCCAGTGCTTCTACCTTCCCAGACGAATCTGACATCCATTAATCGGGTGTAGGGATAGGTTGCTCTTAGCTGAGCTCAGGCCAGGATTCGAACCGACGAGCATGAGTGTATGACAGTGCACCACCTCCACTTCACCACTTCCTCTTCCTTATCTGGACATATTGAAGAAAAACTGAGTAGATTCATCGTGTCATGTGCCTAGATAAAAGATACCGTACAAGGTTTTTTCAGCAACTACAACTTACCATCTTAAACTTATGTTTAGCGAACAGAGTCATGCAAATGTATAAATATCCGTCGCAGTCACCAGACAGGCAACACATCCCCTTGTCTGCTCAAGCAAACCGTTTGATACTGATCATGCCTTTTTTGTCACGTCTTATGAAACAGTCTTTATTCTTGAACCAGTTCTAGCATGACCTTCTCTTATGTCTGGCCATATTTGTTCGGATTTTGTGTATTTTCGTTCCATTCTCCTTTCCGCAGTTGTTCTCCGTGTACGTATTTGTAAGAAGTGCCGTCTGCAGCTTAACTGCTGCTTTCTCTCTTTTTTCTGATTCTCTTATGATGCCTGTAGTGACCTAAAAAAGTAGAATGAAGAAGCTAACAAAGCTTTACAGCTTTCTCCTTTGTCAGAAACGTCACTGCTATATGACGAACTTGAATCTGAGCAAGTTCGGCATGTTTCGTAGTTAGGGATGACTGCCATGGTTCAGAAATTCTCTCAACGTAGCTCTAGCTCAGTTTGCTTATCGGGTACAGCACTCAAAAGCGGTGACCTATTCAAACGAATCAGTCTACTCGGAAAATTCAGCGTGATTGAAAATACTGTCCCCTTCTTCACCGATTTACAAGTTTACGAATGGGTGTTGGGAACATTCCAAGAAGGAGAGGTCTCATAAGTACTTAAGTCAGCCGCTTTGCTTGAGGCTTTAGGGTTTAAACCCATTTGGAAAGTGGAATCGAGGAAATGAACAGTTTTGAAAGCTGATGCTGTTTTGCTCGAGTAGCTTTTGTTATAGGGGATTCGCCGTTAGCTCAAAAATGGGTCCTTATCTGGCCACTTCTAGTACTTCCAACACTCAGGTCTGGATTCGTTCATACTTCATGCCCAAGCTTTTGTTTGTCTCCATTCTTGGTTAGAGGGTAAGGTAATGTAGTGGGTGGTGGTCATCATCGGCATGTTACCAGCACACAACGGTCCCTTCTTCCAGAAACTGTTTCACGACAAGTTTCCTCAAATCTGAGAGTTGCTTCAGTCATTTCCCTTTGCAATAACATCTGAAGTAGTTGACATATGTATGTGAAAAATGGAGTCGTCTAGACTATTGCAATTTGCTTTCCGACTTCAAAATCCATTTTTCTCATGGCATAGTTCCTTTCGCTGTTCACTGAACAAAAATATTGTATTGCATTATTCATTGTTGATAGCTCCCTATTTTTCTGCCCGACATAATAAATGTTCACAAATCAGCAAATTAATTTGTCGTTCTGGGCAGACGTGTGCGAACCATGTCACTGTAGCCCCATCGAACATTGACCATTGAAGTCTTGTAGTCGGCAAAAGGGAGCTGACTGTACTGTTCCTATCGAGAATATGTAAATGCCTTTCCTAATTCTTCTTAACTCATTCACTGCCATTTTTTTTCAAGAAAAATGCGTGCTCTATGGATATTTGTGTTTCTGGTTATTGTCGGTGCTGCCATCGCTCAGGGAGGTCATGAAGGACACGAAGGACACGGCGGCCACATGAGGCACGACATTTCGATGAAGCTATTCCTAATATGTGGTTTGAGATGTCCATATGCATTTCAAGAGCTCCTTCTTTTCAGATTGAAACGCCAATTCGGATTTGATCCGTTCATGATGGGTGGCATGTTCGATCCCTTTATGATGGGTGGATTCGGTGGATGGGGATGGGGTCGTTAGACGGAGAGGAGATTCTGTGAACGTGGAAGTTCTGGATAGCAAAGGATTAATTCGACTTTTTTGTACACGTTCACTTGTACTCATTGCGTTTTTCAGTAGCTCATTTACTAGCGGTTTCACTTGTATAATAAATACTACTTCCAAAAGTATAATCGTAAAGTGATGAACGGATGTTATGTGAATTATATATAGCCACATACTACTAATCAAATCATAATTTTACAATTTCTCGTAAGGATTATGCTGGCATCAACAAATAACCCTATCTAAATGTAAAATAGGGATGGAAAACAAATGCCAAAAACAATGGACAATTGATGTGAAGTTCACTACTAATATGTAGCTTGCTNTGATAAACAGACTTCCTAAGGTGGTACTTGGTGCTTTAGAGAACGCAGAGATCGATACTGATACGATCCTTAAGCAACAATCATATTCATCTGTAATTCAGCTATCTCTTCTTTAGAGATTCGTAGCACCTTAATCGCTCTTAAAACTGTACATGGGCAAGTGGAGCTATCAGAAAGGAACGAGAACATGAAAAATTGAAAGCTTCTCTGTTCGGCACATTTTGAGAGAGAAAGTTAAAGACTACATTTTCAGCGGTTTGTTTGTAGTTCGTCGGACTGCTTCCATAGAGACCCCATGAGCGTGCCTTTCGCCTTCTCATCCACCAAGGCATAGGATGAGTCGAACAAATCGAACATTGCCGCAGTAGACAGACTAACTTTTATCCTAGTCATCGAATAAATAAAACAAAAAGCATTTCGACCTCCTCTTCAAAGCCCTGCTATTTCCAACTTGTTCAACTCTTCAGCGATTTCATTCCCTTCCGATTCTTTTGATCGTCCAGCTCTGCTAGGCCTGCCTCGACTCTTGACGTTGAGTGGACCCACCAAACTACCACTTCAGTTGGAGACAGGTATGCTGGGAAAAGCTGCTAGAAGGAGAAGTTCACAGTGAGACTTTCTGTCAATTTGCAGCTCGGGAATTCATTGTCCACGATGACGGCTTTCGACTTCGGATAGCAATGGTTGTCTGAGAAATTGTGTAATAATTTTTCACATTACATTTCTCTCGTTCACCACGAATTTGCTCGTTATTCAGCTAATAGTAGCCAGCTTTTACATGTATAGGTGGAGCAGGAAGTAGATAGGAATGTTGCTAACAGGACCGCTATCTCCCGCATATCCAGGCGTCCGATCTGGGACCGACGTTGCGCTAGCCGTACTGTATATCGGGAAGGGGTCATAGTTTGATTCATTTCATTCAACTCGGGAGTTCCGTCGTGAAAACGTCGTACCTGGCGTGACGAGGAATTTTCCAGCCGCACGAGGTCAACCCCGACTAGTCTTCCTTCAGTCCTAATTGTGCTTCTTGATGAGATGCCTGGAACGTGATCATTAAGTTTGAGGAACAATTAGTCCTAATGGTTTACCTTATGAGGTGCGGTTTGTGAACGACAATCTAGTGATTAATTGTTGCTGTTTTTTGATACTTTGAAATTTCTAAATTGTATAATGAACCGGTGCTTTACAATCACCGGTCGTTGGTCATCATGGCTCAGCAGTCTACCCAATCTCCCTGAATGGACAATTGGAACAATCAGAAATTCTGAAGCTCGCCTGAGATCTTTGCCCTCATGGACAACTGAAATCCGAAGATCAGTAGAGACCTAACAATTTAGTAAAAGTTGTATTGGGCATCCCGGAGACTACGGTCATGAGGGTGATGATAGTGAACAGGAACTGTACCGAAGACTTCAGACAGTGAACCGTCGAGCCCCACAAGTACTTCAACTTTCAGAACTCAAACTTACCAGTTAAATCAACAAACCAGGACCAGAAAAAGAAAGACAAACCACATCCAAACGACAGTTTCCCAGCAAATATGAATTTCCTTCCACAGCCTCTATCATTTACCATTTCCTGCGTAGCGCTCTATTCCATCCTTCCAAAATGCTTCTACATACTTGTATATTGTGAGGCTGTTCAAGACATAGAGAAGACCAGTAAAGTGATCATTTATCGGTGTTCTCGGCATGTTTACGAAAATAGATCACGAATTCCGCACAAGTATGAAGTAAATCGATCTATCGATTGATTGCACTTAACATGAGATCTATGGCCAATGTTCTTCATTTACCACATGAATAGTTCCAGTGCTTGCTAGCCGCACTAGAGGTAACGTCGACGTAGTCCACTCGAACCATCAATGGAATTCAGCAGTCGACACCTTTCTGGATAGAAAATACACCTGAAATTTTCCGATTATAAACCAGGAACAGGAAAGAAAGCCTTTCTTTAGAATTCCGTGGAATTATCGGAAAGCGCTTTTGTTAGTTTTGCTTCTGTTTGAGCATTGAAGGGATCTTTTGGGAATTGTAGTTCTTTAAACATCATAGCTAACAAGAAAAAAGCATGATAAACCTCATTAACACGGCTCTAATGATTAAACGGTAATCGCTGGGTAATTTAGAAAGCCTAAGCCCTTCAATTACAATTTTTATAATGAGGTCTCGATGATCGCAACGTTATATGATTCCAATAAGTACTACTAATAGATGGGATATGCTTTGCACTCCGCACTTATTAGGGACCACTATGATGAAGGCAAATACCCACAAATATAAACTAATTGACGATTAATTCATGATTTCCGAATGCTCCGCATATTCTATTTATGGTCACCGGAAGCGATATGCAAGGGGATTTCAGAATTGTCACGTTACAGTATGCAAAACTAATGACCCTTTACTTTCTGAATATTCATAGCTCATGTAAATGTCATCATACTCAACTCAATGTTCCATGACAATCACTAGACATTGTTAGACACCCCATGCAAATGAGAAAAGGATAATGATGTCACTAGCAAGAATGGGTTCGCGAATATGTCATTAAGCCATGCACTGAACCCCTGATGGGAATCATAGAGAATGGGATGCGACATTGCCCCAGACATAATAGGAATCATGGAGATTTGGATGTCAGATTGCTCTGGGCAATTAAATCCCTCGGACCTACGTGATTCAGTTTTCTGGCATGAAAATAGAGATTTGCTGATTCGTAGACTAAAGTTCACCATTCTTTAAAAGTCAATAGACGAGCCCAGTTCCTTCACTTTGAACGGCGTCCATTTCTTCAACAAAAAACGAAGTATCGGACTGAGATTTTCCATCGTTGTGAGGTTTTGCTTTGACCGGATTTTGCTTTAGCCGGCCAAGAGCTCACAGTTAGTCCGCGACTGGGATAATGGTTCTTCAGCGCTTCTTTTGAGAAAAGCTACACCATGCGCTTTCGGGGTGTTTCTGTGGGAGCGGTGCTCAACATTCCTCGGTCGCACTCTGAACACAGTGTTTATGATCGGAAGTACCATAATTACCAATGCAGCGGAATACTATAATTTTCCGAATTTTACAAACCGGACAGTCCGCTTTAGATTTTTCCTTCAAGACTTTCCCAAATCGGCCACACTGCTCGCCCAAGTGTCCATCGACAGGCTCTTCCTGAGTAGTACGGCGCACTTCTTCCTCCCCTTAACGTTACTCCCGCTTTGTAGCAGAGTCAGCTTGTCTTGTCAGCTGCCGCCGTTTCTTTCTATCTACGACATCTTCTGTTGTCATCTTGATTCCGACGACATTTCCCTTGATCATGTCTCGCGTCCCTTCTTCCTCGGTGCCCCTCATGGATGCTAACCTTGGATTGCGCATGTCATAACTTTTAGTCTCAAGTTATCCTCTGGTCTTCTCGGTATGGCGCGTGATATGAGTATGACTATGAATATCGCTACTCATTAAACTAGCCGACCAATTTACATCTATAGAAAAAGGGCTATAAATATTATTCCCATGAAAAAAGCGGCAATAGTTCTCTTTGATTGCCCGACTAATTAATTAACCAAATCGTATTCGTATTGAAAAGTGCAATACAGCCTGCCTTTATTATATAGGAATCATTTCATAGGAATAATTCATAGCCATTTAGGGGTTGCTGTCATGTTCGGAACAAATTTGGCCTCTTTGAACGATTTTGTGAAATACGGAAACATCCAGGCTTCCTCTGATCCTACATTCGATTCTATTTACTGCTAAAACCACATAGTATTTATTCGTCCCAGACGGTCTCTGACCAGTGCTCTTCGGGATCACTAGACGCAATTTGTAGTAGGTAGACGTGCGATCCCATTGAAATAGTCTTTTGGAGGGGGTTATGAATAGACGTAATCAGGATCCCAGAATTTGTAGTAAACTGTGAGTTCAAAGTCTATAAGAGAGGACGATTCGCAAGGGCCCAAGAAATGGTAAGAATGAAATTGTCATAGTTGTGCGGTTCTGAAGCCGCCCAATGAATCTAGCGAGGGCAGCATAAGGAAATGGTGCCTTGGCTGGGCTCAAATCACGATTTAATGAGTAGAATGAACCAATTTCAAGTACCGTCGCCTTTTCTGCACCCCTTATGAGGCTTCTTCGCTTCAGAGAAGAAAGTCTATAAGCGCAAAGCAGCCCGTATCCGATTTTAGTTCAGATCTCGCATGTTACTGTAAATGATACTTCTAACAAACAACACAAATGTTTTATGGTTTTTCATACATCTCCATTGAATAATACTTTCCAGAATCCATTAGTATGTACTATGAAAGGTAAGCGTAAATTTAGCTTGCTAAGTAGCGCGTTTTTTACAGTCCCATACGCCATATTACTATAAGTTCATCAAATGTCATAATGGTGAAAATGTTTACGAGTGCAGCTGCCTACGGTAGTATTAAGTGGACTGCAAAATGAAAAAACGACTGCGCTTTGTAAGTAACTACGTATCTCTTCCCTGGCCAATAAGTAAGATGACTCTGTCGGGCGTTATGGTAAAGTATAGCCCCTTCTCACTCAGGATACTAAAGGCTATTGAATAGTTGTACTCAGCCTTTGAAGACACCGCTAACGATTTTGTATAATTTCGGAATTTTCAGCTTTAGACGAATAATGGAATTTACAGCCCAGAAAA